GAGATGGCTCATTCCTTCAGAACTGCTGTAGTAACCAGGAAAGTACAACAGCTAGCATCAGCTGATACCATTTTCTGTGAATCCACTATTACCACCCCCACTAATTTCTCCCACTTGATTTAAACCTCAGCTCAGCAAATACAGCTCCACTGACAGCCAGTCAGAGGTCAACAGCCAGAGACATTCTTCTCCCAGTGAGATAAACTGGCTGCTCCCTGAAAAAAGAAATAAGTCTACACAGAGTTTTTATGCCCTTTTTGCTTTTAAGACCAGCTAGTTTTGTCTTTATTTAGACCTACAAAAGAAGTGTCCTAGTTTGGAAAAAGCCATTCTGGAGCAGTATCTTAGCTCTTAATATTTAAGACAGTAACTGTGCACTATAGTTTCACTGAGTACCATTTTTACAAAGAGCTTTAAAGATTTCTTACTTGTTGTCCATGAAGACATCCATTAAGAAATTTTGATTAATAGTTGGAAACATCTCAAATAGTTGCTTCTCTTTTAGTTTAGCAGCACAGTCCTTTCGAGCCATAGAAGGAATACGATTCTACCAAGAAGGCAAAGGAAACATATTACAAGTTCTTGATTAGAACAAAATATAGTAACAGCAGAGCAACTTCAACTTTACTATTATTTTTTAAGATTTGAAAAAAAATATACTCCATAGGTATGCACCCACAGCAACGACAACATGACAATATCAGCCTGCCACACTGATTTGATAAGAACAAAATAGGGACAAGTGAGCTGCACTCTGCAGTCATTTGAAGTTGCTTTTTTGGAGCTCCCTCGTAACTTGGATAAAGCAAAGTGAGGATTTTTTTTAGGAGGAATGCAAGTTTTGGAACGCATTCTCTGTTAGTCTATCTAGTCCAATGCTGGGCCTGGAGTGGAAACAACATTTAAGTATTAAACAGCGTAAAAGATTTTGCTTTGGTGAATCTGAAGCCATACCGTAATAAACATTCACATATGTGAAGTCATGCTGAGTAGAAAAGATAATTATAGCCCAGAATAAATCAGACTGATCATTCCAATACTCAAATTTAAATTTAAAAAAACAAAAAAAGAGGTCAAAACAAAGCCAAGCTCCATGAATACAAACTGAAAATAAAGCTGCAGACATCACAGTTATTATTGTCAGTACATAAGTAATGATAATGTTATTATTATTATAACATGCAGTTCAAAGAAAAAATCCATAAGCCACTCTTCGGAATTACTGGCTAATCCACCCAACTTTCCATACCAGTAGAAACAAGCTTCCCTTTTTTAGGACAGCTACTTATCAGAGACAACTAAAAACGCCTGTTCTGAACAGCTGCCAGGCAGCAGAGGGCAGCACGATGCACACACCACCCAGACAGGGTGTGGGAACTACGTGGGAGATGTAGAATTATAAAAATATTTTTTAAAATTACTATCATCTGACAAGTGAGTACATAAACCTGTTTGAGATTAACCTCAAGTACTTCTTTTAATGTCCTGTTAGGAATGTTGTGGGTTCTCCTTACAAAGAAATACTAAAATTAATTCAATCCACGTCTAAACAAACAAGGCACGGAGCTATGTAAGAACTTTCTTTGATCACACTTTCCCAATAAAAAGTGCAGGAAATCACACCAATCAGATTATCTCTGTTTTTAGGTGAGCAATCAAAAAGCAACTCAGTCAAATACAAATGCTAACCTGTGTAATGAAATGCATCATGATCTGTTAGTGAAACAATCAAAATATTACATTTTGAGATTCATTGTTTAAAAACAGAAACATCTACCACGAGCAACTCTCGTATCATAGTAATCAACAGTACTAATTGCCATGCATTTGTCTCATGAATTTGGGCTGTAATCGGCAGCACAAAGATGAGTCACCAGATAAGACATATTATGCTTCATTAATAGTAACTAATTTAAACTACATAAAAAACTGGTGCTATCCATACCAGGTCTTGCTTCTTCTGCATAGCTATTTCTTCAGAAATTATTTGTCTGAGAGAAACTTTCTGAATCTGAGCATTCCAGTGATCCATAAAAGGAAAAACATCTGATGTTGCTGGTTTTTCAGTCTGTATGTCATCAGTTGAGCCTGAAACCCAGCTCGTTTTTTTCTTCTGCATTTTACTGTCTGCATTCTGAGATAACAGCACTTCTGAGTCATCTGTATCTATCTGCTGAATCACAGTAGGACCTTTAGAAGCGAAAAAAAAAAAAAAATCAGGTGACAATTAAAACAATTATTAGCTTATTTATACAATTAAAGCCAAAATAGTTTAAACTAGATAGTTTGAGTTTTGTTAAAACAATATTATTAATGCTAACCCAGAAAACAACACAGTTTTTACCTTCCTCACTTCTATTTTCTGAAGACTGACTGATGATCTTTATATATTTTGTAAAACAAAAGCAAAACCATCAGACTTCCTCACCAAGTTTTTAAGGCCAAGACATCTTACAGCTGTGAACTATATATACGTTAAGTGGGAAGGTTCATTTGAGAAGAAGAGAATTACTGACTTATGTGTTTACATGTTTACTTGCCTTTCCTCTACAACTTAAGGACAGATGCTTAACAATTAGAGTTAATGCTAACAGCACTGTTTGGGCATTCCAGTGGAGAGTTTACAACCACACTGCAACCCAAGTCTTCACGTGGTCCCGTGCAAGAGCAGTGGGTTTCTGCTGCAGAGGGACATTTCTAGGAGCTGAATAAAAACTGGATTTCTAGAGACTGTAACAGTTTTTGAACACGGCCATACATCCTCCTGCTACAATCAGCATCTCTGACACGGACAACATGTGAAGTTGTATTCCTGACCTCCTTCCCTCACCTGCAGAAATCTTATTCTGCCTGTAATTCTCTGGCCACGCTTTTTCTTGCCACAGAGATTAAAGAAGTCCTACCAAACAGCTGCCTGATCCAGCCAGAGCTTCTCTGAAGTACACAGAATGATAGGCTTTTTGCTTGCATCTACCTGGGACTAGTGATTCTGTTTATAATTAGCTTCTTTTTTCCCCCCAACATCTCTGTAAGAACATGGTGAATGGAACAAAGGACAATAAATAAAAGCTTAGCGTAATAAATTAATCTATCATTTTTCAATAGGCAGAATATTTGCACCCTTACTGAAGTATTTTTATATTTTTCTAGAATTATTTTTACAATTAAGAGAAATACATAACATACCTTCTGCTGACAACTTACATGATTCATCTCTCCTCTGACGCTTCTAAATAAAAATAGTAAAACCATGAATGTTATAAGTAAGCTATAAATTCTGCAGTGAAACTTCACAAGTGTTAGCTTCTAAGTAAACCAGCTTCAAAATAATGTCTCATGGTATTTCTCAAAGATTGAATGTTTTAAAATGAATTTATTTAAGAACAATAATTACAAAGTGAAGTTTAAAAGACAGATCCTTTCAAAAACACATCATACTAGAGGAACATACCCCACTGCTAAGATTTCACAACCCTAATTAGATAAACCAAACAAAAATTTAGTTAAAAAGCATTCAGAGTTTCATACAGCTATGAAGGAATGGAGATTAGATAACTCAATTAATGTACATGGAGATGTTTTATATACATAATTATTTATAAAAGAATTCTTCTTACATGTCAAAGTCAGTAATGATTTATGGCCAGTTGAATTTTTGATCAATTTTGTAGTAAAATGGTGCATTATGGTCCTTCTTTTTTAATAATCTTCGTTTTGTGATGAGGCACTCATGACAGTTTTTTCATCCCTTAAACTGTCTTTCAACAGCTCTGATGATTGACACGCTTGTATATGCCACATATTTTACAAACTACTATTCTATTTCATCATCGTTCTTGCAAAGACTTTTCTATCTTACACGTTTGGACCAACACATAAGGAAACAAATGGTCTGATAAAGCGCAAGCATGCCATACCATATCATAAGCAAGAAATCTACTAACCAGAATAGATTCTTTCCATTTTTCATGAATTACTCTTGCCAAATTCAGATCAATATGAACCACACAATCCTCAACAGTTAGTGATCCTTATGGAAGAAAGAAAATATATTCATTAAAGCATTCCATAAAAACTTATCTCAGCAATTAAAGTACAGTAGCCTAGACTTAATTTGAGTTCTGGAGATTCTGCACAAACTGTCATGCCTGAAAAAACTTCAGCATTTGCCAAGTTAAAAAAAAAAAGCCATTCCACGCAGAATTCATTATCTGGTGTTCAAAAAACACAGAAAGGGTATGAAAAAACAACTTCACATTAATTTTCTCTTGTTGAAATATGACTCCCTGGACAACTGCATTTTTCTGCCATTTCTTCATGTTTTCTAGCAGACCCTGCTTTTACAAAGCCACTGTTAATTTACAATCACAGTTTCATTTGTGAAACTCTGATTCTCCGATTTTATTGCAATCCACAGGCAACACAACAGTCTCGTCACTGCCCAACAGCAGTCACATCCCTCCTCTCAAACACACAAGCTCAGAGAAGCAAACTCCAAGTATCCCTTCTAACCTTAAAGGAAATTGCAGGAATTATCATGGTATCATAATGATACATCTTTTCCATAAAAGATCTTTCTGATATTGTTTCTCAACCTTTCAAAAATAAAAGGGCAAAAAGTACATATGTATCAAATAAAAAAGCAGGGCATATTTCAGACACAATAAAACAGCCTTCTACTATCAACATTTTTTTGGCGGAAGTAGGTATGGAAGGCAAAGAGGTCAGCAACCAAACCCACCAATAGATCAGGTATCCAGAATTTCACATCAAGTAATCTTCAGGAGAAGAGAGAAGGAAGGGGGGGGATCATCAAACAAGCTATACATTCCTTGCATTTTCTTCCTTTTTCTATCAGTAATGTTTGTTCAAGCTGCTTATGGCTTCCTTCATGATACTCTCAGCAGACAAGTCTGTTTTCATCCTTTAGGTATTGCTGCACTTTATTGTCTCTATCTTCTCTCTGAAGCCTTCATCATCTTCTTCCCCAATTTAACTGATCTCTAAAGCTTTCTTTTTGCTTTCTTTTTTCTTAACTAGTCATAGTTTGAATCTTCCTCATCATCTTACTATCTCTTCAGAGTTTGGAGCCTGTTGCTCAAAACGCAAATAAGCCAATATATTTTCTTATGTTTTAAAGTACCCACATATACAAAAAAGCCGAAGGCAGAAGGTAGCACTACTACATTTACATTTTTTACCATGCTTAGTTCAGTACCATTTCTGGATTAACAAAAGCATACAGCAGTATCACAAAGAATTGTGCAAATCTGTTACCTAAAAATCAGGCATGAAGGAAAAAAAGCACAGGGAAAGAAAGCAAGCTTTTCTTGCACAAACTGAGTTTTTCATAAAAACATGGATATAATTATGTCCATACCTGCATCAATGCCAACAGGCCCAAATATTTCTTTTAATTGGAGTGCCAGTTCAGGAGGCAATGTTAGTTCTAAGCAATCTATACTGAAGGCTGCACGTGATGCTGGTATAGGGCTTTGTATCTTGGGTTTAGTTTCATCCCAGCTTGGAGTCTCAGTGTCTTCTTCACCATGTATCTCCCTGGAGCTCCCCTGGGTTTCCTTCTTTGACTCCAGTTCTTTACCACTACCAGGACCCACCAGATGTGCATGATCCATTTCAGCAGTCACTTTGGAATTCTCTGCATTGCTTTCTGATGGGTTACTGTCACTTTTGTTATTTAATTCCAATTTCAAATTGGTAGAAGTTGTGTTAAGACTGTGAGGCAGAGTCATGGGTAGACATAAACCTGCATCAAGTTGTGAGACTGATGGCTGATTTACAGTTTCTTCAACAGGACTCTCACACTCCATCTTCTGCGTTTCTGAAGCACATGGCTCAATGCTACCTGCTGCGGAGCTGCCTGTATCACTTCTAGGGGCTGCATCCCCAGAATTTTTCGGTTCTGCCGAATCTTTCACTGAAGTAATAGTCAACGAGTCAGACACATTAGCATCTGTCGCAGTTGCCTTGGTAGCCCTACTTTCTGCAGTGCTGAGTGATGATTCCTTCTCTTCTGAAGGCTCAGAGATATCACCAGTCCCAATTATTTGTGGTGTTTGCTCACAGTCTTTGAGATGCTCACCATAGTTTGTAGTTGCCTTAAAATCAAGGTCTGTGACAACTGGCTCAGCTTCTCTTACTTGAAAGCATTCGGTATCAACATCTTCGCATAACTTTTCATCAGAGTCTAACAGCAGACCAGTGGCCCAGTCTATGTCTTTGTTACATCTTTCATACAGATCTTTCAGAGCTTCAAATGAAACAGAATCAAAGAGTTTACACAGCATATTTAGTTTTTCAGACTCATCAATATTGGTAAGTTCATTTTCTTCCACAAATGTACTTCTGTCATACATAACTCGATATGGTATTTCTTCCTGAGAATCTGAGGCATTATCTACGTCTTTGGGTTTGAAGCCATCTAGTCTGCCATACAAAACTTTGGTAGTCTCAGGAAAAAGCATTTTCTTTTCTAATCGCCACAGGAGAGCAAAGTCCTGTGATTCAGTCTGTGAATGACTACTTTTCTGTCTACATGAGCATGTGTCATGTTTCTCTTCCGTTGTGTTGAGCATAGACAAGTGTTCCTCTTCTTTGGGATGAGACAAGTTGTTGTTTGTAAAAGTGAGGGCTAATTTGTGATGTTTCCTCATTCTCTTAATTTGCTGGGGTTTTTTCTCACCTACTGTTTCACTAGCTACTGTTTCAGGTTGGTGAATATGCAAACTCTTTGTATCCGGTTGCTCAGTGCTGTTCACAGGTGTCCCACGAAGCACATCTACAGTCTCAAGAGCATTTCTATTAATGTCATCTTCAGTATTTCTACCTTCATCAGACTGATTCAGACTTGTCTTTCTCATTCTCCTTGACCTTTGCTGTCTCTGTTCTAATGATCCTGAGACAGGCCAATGTCCCATCATTTGCAATTCCAGTGTAACTTTATCTGAACTAAAAGAGGAAAAGGTAGAGGCTCGATTTTCTTCCTCATGTCCTTTTTCTACAGTACAGGTCCCAGGCAGGCCCACTTTCTCTTTACCTAACTCAGGATGCTGCTGACTGGGAGTTTTACCTTCCTTGTCGCTCTTTAGAGATTTTTCTAGTTTTCTAGCTCTTTTGACTCTCTGTCCCATGGTTTGTTCTACAGGCCAGTCACCCAGAAAGTTCAGTAATTCTGGTTTTCCTGACTTGTCAAAAGGTGAACTGCTCTGTTCCAGTATATTACTACTTTGTGTTGACTTTGGTTCTGTACATATGTCACCGGATTTTTCAACTTCAGTCTGAACTTTGAGAATGTTGTTATCACTGTGTTCAACTCCTTCTGTATGCAAGCACACAATCTCTTCCGTCATGGTCACATCAACCTTATCCATTTCTATTTCAGTGTTTTTTTCTATTTTTTCTTCCCTTTCTTCTTTCTTCTCCAAAGGCAGCTCTTTTTCTAAGCAATCTGATAAAGAAACATCCAAGTTGTCTTGAACAGTGCTGTTCTGAGAATTGTGTTCCACTGAGTTATTTCCCATTTCTTTTTCCTTTTTCTGAAAATGTTCAGGATCACAGTTACTTTCTAACGCTAGAGAAGTACTGGGAAAAGGTCTATCACCTTCAGCTAATTCAAGAGGTTCCGCATCGGAAGCAAAAGACTTTTCTTCCTTTACATCAGAATGTGCCTCTCTCCTTCTGAAACACAAATTAGAATGGAAGGTAAACCCATTTCAAGCCTTCTTAAAGCACTTCTCCATATTTTTAATTTTGGCTTGGCTATTTTCAAATTACAGACCAGAAACCACCTTTTAGGACACTAATCCTCCAGATACAGAACTCTAGCGAGAGGAAAATGTATTTAAGACAACTTAGTCCTAACCTCAACGCTTCTTTACAAAAAAGAAGGAGATAAGCAAAGTGGAGCTTTCCTTGGTAAGTATCCCTTTTTTACTTCAGCATGGGGCTATGAATACTTTCTCAGGAGTCTATTTTTCCCCATTTTCAGCATTCAGGTATGTACTGAAGCACTCTGCTGCCAGACATTTCCTCCTTCAGATCAGCAAACCTGGTAAATATGCTTTTATTAAATGGCTGTTGCTCTCTCCTGATGGATCAATGCTAAAGAAAATCTAGAACCAACTAGGAGAGGATGTGCCATTTCTTGTCATACCGTTTTTCATGATCAATTTCATTCAGTTAATTATCAGTGCCCATTTCATTTCAAATACATTGAATATGCAAACCCAAATGAAATAACTACAATAAAATCTGATTTCCTATTAATTATTATAATGCATATACAGCATTATTAAGATTAGCCACTACAAACCAGTCATGTAAACAAACAACAGAAATCTAGACAAGTCTAAATTAAGTATACTCAAGACTCAAAGATAACTCCTTACTACTGCATGAAGAATTCACCTTCTACCACAAAGACATCATCTAACACCAACACACAGACTCTGAAATAGTAATTTGCTTGTACTTGGGACTACACTCTGAAAAGCATTTTATAGATTTTAAGTGGTATTTTTGTATCTACAACATACATCTAACAGCACATTTCTAAGATAAGAGAAAGTGAATCAAGATTGTTTTATTGAAAAGAAACACACGGCAATGCTGGGAGGTTTTCAAAAAAGCATTGGAAAGTTGACTAGATCCATTGACTGCTTATTTCCAGAAATCTGGAAATTTTAAAAAATTAAGAAAACTATGTATTATATTTATTTTAACTATATTTTTTAAGTGCATGCACTGTTCAACAGCATTATCCAGGTTCCATTGCTAAGAAGTTTGAATTTTTAGCCTTTTATTTGAAACTGCAAAGCTAGTAAAAGAATCTAACCTAGGGCTTTCCTCCTGACAAGGATCATCACTCCAGCCAGTAGCTTCTGATCTGTCTGGGACTGAGGAATCCAATACTGAACTAACAGTAAGGCAGCGTTCATACCGTTCCAACATTCTTTTAATCTTTTCCTTAGACACACCATGAATGTTTCGCCTGTGAATTTAAAAAAAAAAAAGTAAAAGAAACATTTCAGATGTGGATATTACAATGAGAGAAGACAATAATTTAATAACAAATTAATTATAGTAAGTTTACAGCAAGACTAACCAGAAAATTCAGGGAGTGAGGGCAAAAGCTGTGAAACAGTAATTCTTTCTGTATCGGTGTGCTAAGGCATTCTGAACAGGGTATCCCAGCCAAACTGCTGCTCCACTTGGCTTCTCCACCCCACCTGGCGGCCTTGTTCTGCAATACGCTGTTCTGCTTAATACCAAAATCTGAAACTGCACCAATAGTGCATCTTCTTCAAATACGTATCAGAAAGATGCCATATCAGATACTGACAGTGATGTAGGATTTAAAACTGGGTACGGAAGATAATCTGAATTCGACCTTCCTTCTCTGTTTTTGCTCAACTAATAACTTTTAGAGACTTAAGGAAAACCCACAGTTTATTTACTGCAATTGGACACCCTTCAGCCAGAAATTTTCACTGGCTCTGTTAAACACCGACTAGTAATGTGCTCTGCAGCAGTTCCACTTGAACAAGTAAATCCTGCCAATGATGGCAAAACAGAAACTGAAGGTACAGAAGAATATGTTTAAGTTCTCTTTTAGGAAAGAAAGCTAAGCATGCAAATTCAGATGACAATAGATTATGATGAAATCTCAAAATAACATATATTCAAAGGAACCTCTGGAGGTCACATAGTCCAACCTCCTACTCAGAGGAGGTACAGCTAGATCAGGTTGCCCAGACTTGCTCTGTCAGATTTTGAATATCCCCAGTGATGAAAAGTCTACAAACACTCTAGACAAATTCTTTCAGTGCCAGACCACCCTCAAAGTAAGTTTTGGGGTTTTTTTGCTTTTATGTAATAAAAATTTTCAGAGTTCCAACTTGCTTAGGTTTGTTTTGTCCTATCCCCACAATTCTCAGATCTTTTTTGTCTTCTCTACAACCTCTCAAAACGTAGCTGAAGACAACAATACGATCCTTCCTTAACATTCTCTTCTTAAGACTGAACAAACTACTCTTGCTCAATTCAGCATCATCTGCAAATCTGCTGAAAGTGCGCTCTGTCCCAACATCCAAGTCATAAAAAAGTCATTAAATAGTAGTGGCCCTAGTATTCATCTTAGAGGGACATCAGCCTCCTCTTGGACTTCAAACCACTGGTTACACCCTTTGAACCCAGCATCCAGTCAATTTTCTAGCTACTTTATCATTCACTTACATACAGTTTAACTCTTGTCTATTTTGGCTCTAAATAATGGCTCTATGACTGTGTAGAAGGGCGTGCTAAAGAAGGTATAAACATCAATGGGTTTGTTCCTCTCAGGCCAAGAGGTGCCTTAAACTCAGTGACAGCAGAAACATTTCAAGTAAGGCAACAGATCTGCTTGATTCAAAACCAGCCTCAATCTGATACCATTTTTGCAGCTTCATAAACCCAGAGGAGCAGTCACTGTACATTTAATGCAAAAGAAGAACTACACTCATGAAAAATTATATTATACTATCGCTAATAGTATATTTTGTATGTAATTAGAATAAAATGACAGAAAAATAATCTCATAAATACACATTAAAAAATCCCACAAAAGTTAATACTGTAGGAAAAAAATTATGTAAAAGCTACTTATTATAGCAAAAATCTTGACTGCTATCTTGCTACTTCACCAGCCACTGTATTAAGTAATACCTTTTGAAAAATCATTGCATATCTTTCATAGTCTATGGAACTATCTACTATGATATTTTCCTTTACATTCTTACCTTTCAAGTTCCTTTGGTTTAAACTTCCACCAAGTGTCTGGTTCTCGGAACATGACTTTGTATTTGAACTGCTGAGCCTGAATAAAACATACAAAGCAGAACAAGCTACATCACCTAATTTTTATTTCTCTGAAAAAGTGCACAACTTGTATATAGCCTGCTTCTTTAAAGCTATTTCTCATATTTTTTGAAACCAATTAAACATTTGAAATAACATACTTTTGTTCAGTGTTTCACTTCTTATTATATAAATGAAGATTTTAAAAAACATGTATATGCATCTTTCACTGTAAAATCAAATGTGTGTCACAATCATAGAAAAAAAAAATTTTCTATTTTCTATAATCCTGTTAAATGTTCTGCCTCCTTTGAGTCAAGACTGCAGAACATCTCCTCTTTCCAGGTATAGTATGCACATGCCTACATTTCTCCAAAGAGAAAAGCTGACTGCTTACATTCAAAGCTGAGCAGATGCGAGCCAGTTCCAAACCAAGCAAATCAGTTACACTACCACAGCTATTGTGGACAGCTTTCCTGCCATATGGGAAAACTCGAGTGTACTGCAAATAAATAGTCCCTACATGGACTAGTCTCCTCATGACAGAAAAGGAGCCAAAAGTCTAACCAGGAGAAACACTGAGCACTGTGACATTTTTAGCTGTTACTGTTTTCAGAAAAAATTCTTACCACCTTACCAAACCCTGCCAACCAAAACTTCCTGGGAGAACTTTTGCTGTATCTTTATTTCAGTATACAGCAAAATCAGGAACTTAATTTATAAAAGAACTGTTAATCTGAGAATTGTTAATAAATGCAAGAATAATAAGGTAAAAATTTTATTAATAAAAATTATCTGTGTTAAGTTCCCCAGTTCACCAATCCATTAATACATGCAGCATATGTAGACTGTCAGTTCTACATTCTACACTCTCTGATGTGTTTTTATATCATGGTAGAAGAAATCCCATATCTACTTTATATTATTTCTTCCAATATATTATTTCTGTTAATCAGAACCATTTTTATAAAATAATGCAGCTCCATAAGCCTAAGAAAATTGTACTAAATAAAAGCTGGTCGCTTTTAGTCAATAAAAGCACTACACTACTAACATAAAATAGTGCTGGTGCATTATTTTGATTATATCATTTCAATAAAAATAAAGTAAATTTGCATAACTTCACAGAATATTAAGAGTTGGAAGGGATCTCCAGGAAGGGATTGCCCCTCAGTTCAAGGACAGGGAACTGCTGG